AGGGATTGCTTTATATTTAAAATTAATTATTGCTTACTCTGTTTTCAGCTTCGGGCTCAGAATCAGGTCTTGAAAAAGGGTGTGGTGGATGAACAAGCAAATTCTGCTGCTTTGAAGGTATGCAACAAAATATTTGTATTGTGAGGGTTAAGTTAGTTTTTGGTGATGCTCGAAGCAGTGAATTCAGCTTGTTTTCTGGGTTAAAGTCCCAGCTCTGACACTGATTCACTAGAGGTTAGGGAGGGCAATAGAATTTTTTGTGTTCAACTTTCCTACTTGCTTAGGTATGACTGTGAAGTGCTTTGATTTCCTTAGCTAAGAAGTACAAAGAAGTATTATATTGACTTTAATGCATTTCTCTTACACCTCAAGGCCTTTATTTAGCTAAATTTATATGAATTAATTGGGCTTCTTATCTGTCTTCATCACTAGAAAGCACTCTGAGAAGGGCTATGTCATATTCATATTTATATCCCCAGCATTCAGTGGATGGTTGTCCACTAATAAATGGATCTGAAAGTGTGAATCATTTAGTGCATTAATCTTTCTTTTGGGTTGAGCCATTAATAGTAATAACCTGTGTTAATCAGGATGCTCTGAGACATTTTACCATCAGCACCTTTGTTAACTGAGGGGAGATACTTGATAGGAGATGAAGGAATTTGTTTCTATCTCATTCTAGTAGGCATATAATAAATATTGCTTAGTGATATTTTCAATTGGATAAATTCATTCTAGGATATGGATTCCTTTGGCCAAGTTTCCATTAAATATACTTCCCACCTTATTCTTTTCCACTCTACATTGTTCCCTCTTTAGTCAAAAGGGGTGAGGATTCCCTTTTCTTTCATCTCTGTCTGGAGTAGCCCCCAACCAGTGACATATCGTAGGTGGTTCCACTTAGGTAACGAAGACCCAGAAATATATCCTGTTATTTGGCCAGTCTTGGACCCCACACTCGAGAAATTTGTCTCTTGAGAGTGCCCTGTCCTCGGCTGTGTTCCACAGACTCAGGCCTGAGAGGTTCAGAGCACCTTACCCAGACTTCTGAAGCTCTCTGTGCCCAGGGCAAGATTATTAAAAATAACCTTTATAGTTAGGGTTTGATAGTCAAGTTACTGTTTTACCTAAATCATTGAAGAAATGATCATTCTCTCTCCCAATGATGTTGAAAACTCATTACTTGGGAAAGTATTTCCTAGCTTGTCTTAGTAACCCCTGGTGTTTGTCACTGGCTGTGTTTGATTAATCAGTGATAGTGGCAGTGGTGGTGACAGTGGTGATGGGGATAGCAGGTTCTATTCATTGAGCACTCACTGTGTGTCAGGCATTGTGCTAAGCACATAATATCCAACACGCCAGTCTTTACAACAACTCTATGAGAGCAGATAGCATTATCATCCCCACTGCAGACACTAGGATTTACAGAGAACTTGATAGATGTCTTCTGAAGTCAATTGGTTAATGGAGTTAGGGCATAGTTAACTAGTGACTAACTAATTATAAGGATGTAAAGAAATTACTTTTTGTTTTACTATTCACTGCAGTGGTCATTATAATCACATTAAGAATGACAATTTGCTGGTTTGCTCAGTGGGAATGTTAGGATGTTTTCTATTATAGTAAGCTTTAGATTATATTTGGGTTTGCTGCTTCAGTAAGTAAGCATTCATTGATTTGGATTTCTTTAATTTGAAACATGATCATTTGGATATAGGCTGGTCTAAGCTTACCATTGAATTTCAAGTAGAAATTAAGGGCTTACTAAACAAATAATAGAAAAGAACAAAGTGTTTTTCTACTTAATGAAAACATATTTCTTGTCCCTCTGGCCCTTCATTCAACACACAAATAACGTCACTATATTGCAGACACCAGCCTATGTTTTTTGGGTTGCTATTTCAATACACTTAAATCACTTATTCATTAAAACTTGACCTCTTCTTAGCTTTACAATGGTATTTCAGTGAAAGTAATTAAAGTACAGTTTTTTAAATGCACAATAGTATATGGCCATCTGTGTTAGATTACCAGTGAACACAAAGTTGTCTGAACATTGTAAGTATTGCAGTTAGTATAATATTTTTTTTAAATAGAGTGAAACTACATATTTCTTTAATTTCCCATTTTCTTACCCTATTACTGTATAAACAGCATAGAATGGTTAGCAGCAGATAAGTTGTTTAGATTTGGTTTCTATTTTCATGTAACGTTAAAGTGAATTGATGTTGAACAGTATCTGCAAATATACGTGTGTGAGGGTAATACTGATTTTTATCTTTGACAAGTCAGAGTGGTTTAAAATTAAGTGTATTGAGAAGACTTCATTTTGCCTGACTTAAATTCCAGGAAGATTTATAGAAAAAATGAATACAAATGTATTTCTTCCCATTCTTGCTTACTGAAGGGCATCATCAGTGAGTCTGAGGTTCTCTCTAAAAATTTTAGTTTATAAAATTGTCGCCTCAGGCTTTTCGTCTCCTCACCTCCAGGCACATATATAACAACATTATGTAACAACATACAGTTGTGGATATTTTACTTTAAGTTGATGACTATCTTGTTACTTCAGTACATATACTCTTTTTATTTTATTTTTAAATTTACTTGGATTGGCTAAAAAGTAATTTTGTTACAGAAAGAGAGCTAAAAACACAGGAAGCGGAATGATAAACATGCCATGTGAATTGCCTAAAGCAAAAGGTTTGGATTATTATTTTGGTGAAACAAAAATAATGTTTTTTTCATTTTTTTTAAACCTTAAGGCTAAATTATAAGGAATGGTCTGTTTTCACTCTGATGTAGGAACAACTGAAAATGAAGGATCAGTCATTGAGAAAACTACAGCAGGAAATGGACAGCTTGACATTTCGAAATCTGCAGCTTGCCAAGAGGGTAGAACTACTTCAAGATGAACTGGCTCTAAGTGAACCCCGAGGCAAGAAAAACAAGGTGGGTCAGATAAAAGCAAGTTAGTGTGAGCTTTCGTTAAGGGCAGATGTCTACGGGCCATGTTGATTTTAACAGAAGATAACCACCTCTCCATTTTTTAATGTATGATTGTTACACCTGGGTATTGGGTTAAGAAAGCAGATGTTCACTATTAATATATACTAAGTATTAGTATATGAAAGTGAGTTTTAAAGAACTTAAGAGGAGCAAACATGCAGTATTTGATTAGTGGCTGAGAAAAGTGAAAGGAATATTATATATTGGTCAAAATTATTGACATCTTTCTGTTATTCCAAGTTGCTATTGATGCAGGGTAGGACAAAGAAAACAAGAAGCATTGTCAAAGTATAATGGCTCCTGTGAAAGTAGCAGTTGAAATACTCGTAGGTTAGGTTTGTAAATTTGCTGCAGATAAATGTTCTCGGTGTTTCTATTTATGAGGCTAATTTAGTATTCTTGTCTGGAGATGTAAAATTAAACTTCTCCCCTTATGGTTTATATAGTGAGATAAGATTCTTAATACTCTAAGGATGATCTGGTACTTTTGAACATTCCATGATTAAGAAGTTGCATTTTTTTCAGGGTAAGGACTAGTGGTTTGAATCTTTCAGGCTTGTGTGTATTGAGAGCAGTGCCACATAGATGTGTAAATCGAGGCAGTAACAATAGAGTAGTAGGGGGGAAGAAGGCACACAATAACTCTGAAGCAGCATGATCCAGAGGACAGAACACAGCATGGGCTTTGGAGCTAAGCCCAGGCTTGAATTTGTCTCCCATTTATAGATCTATGAGTAGCCAAATTTTTTAGCTTTGCAATCTCAGTTGCTCCATCAGTAAAAGGGGGATAATACTCTCAGGTTTGTTGTGAAGATCATGTGAAAGTAAATAGGACTTTATTTGTCATATGTTGGGCAGGTGACATAATTATGTTAGTAGCTTTTCATATGTATTTCCCTACATGAAAGAATTCTCTAGAATGGTAATTTTCAAGTAAATGAGGAACAGGGAGAACCAAACAGGTATGTATTAGAATCACTTGGGAAACTGTCAAAATATGCATGCTATGGAAATTCTGAAAGACCTTTAGGAAAGAATAGCCATTTGTACTTCAGACTTGCTCCCCAGGTTAGTAAGGTCCTCTTCCAGGGCTTCTTTCTAGTGCAACACTTGTGAATTAATATTAATTAAAGCTCTCCAAATTTGGAAGCACTAAAGACATGGAATATGTCATTCAGCAGTGTTCCTTGTGCGCTCCTTGTGTCCCAAGCACGATGGATATTTAATGTTTTGTTTTACATACGTACTCCATTTTCAAAGGGCTTTGTAATCATTGGTTCACGTTGCCTCAGTGACTGACTTCATTTTAAGTGAGGAGTGAGGGCACAGGAAAGGCAGAGAAGGGTGGTGACTGAGTTTGAACAGTTTCATTGTTAGGCTGTCCCTTGAAGTCTCAGTTCTTATATTCCATGAAAACAAATGCTCTTTATTGGCTCTTTTAAATAGTGCTGTTCTTCTATGTAGAAAAAGTTAATGTTAATAAAAAAGCAAAAGGAAGTATTTATCATAATTTTAGAGCTTTTTCCTTCTGTTTATAACAGATTTATTTTATTGGCTATGTGAAGTTTGAAAAATTAGAACTTTATGTGAACTTTTATATGAATTTATCTTTGTGAATGTTGAATAATCGATTACAATTTCTTAAATGAATTTAGCAACTCAGACTCATGGAATTGCTATAACTGTCATTTCCCAAACCAAAAAATCAAACTGACATTACATATGTCTAGTGCATTTATATTGCTAGCTTTCTGGATCTGCTCTGTCTTCCAAGGGAATACTCCTGAATTTGTCTGCAAGGAATAGTGAACCTTATCTGTTCTTTTTTTCCCTCTCTCTCTCTTAAGTTTTCCTGCTCATTGTAATATTTACAGTTCCAACTTCTGTCACATAGGAAAAGTTAAATGATGGACTGTAACTTTTTGAAGGATTGTTTGAGAATGTTGAACATATAGAAGAGACAAGCTACTAAGGTGATAGAGAATCTATACCTTAGGATGTTTCTCTAAAGGATGCAAGTATGTGGACATAACTTATTCTTTCCATCAGAAAAGTGGAGAATCTTCTCAGTTGAGTCAAGAGCAGAAGAGTGTCTTCGATGAAGATCTGCAGAAGAAGATAGAAGAGAATGAACGGTTGCATATACAAGTGAGAAAACTTCCTGTTTTTCCTTAGGAATTAAGAAATGGGTCATTTGATCTGCAATGTGGAAAACCAACTGCAGGATAGAACGTTTTATATATGAGTGTGTTTTAATGTTTCCTATGGTTTTTAGTTTATGTATCACAGTCATTTATTCATTTTTAAAATCTCATTCATATCTTAATATGGACATATGCTTTGAAGTATGTATATGTTTAGAGGACAACAGAGTAACTGTAACTTAACAAACCAGAAATATACTGGGCATTATTCATTTTCTATAGAAAATGATTGGATAGATCATTTAAATGGGAGCTTATCAATAGGTAGTATTTGTTTTTTAATTTATTACTGTCTGTTTGGTTTTTATCTGTTCACATGTTGGTCTGTAAGGTCCGCTAGGGTATATATAGATCATGTCATTTTTATATGCCCAGTCCCAGCACAGGCTCTCATGGCAGGTCCTCAAATATTTACGGAATGTTGAATAATCAGTGTTTGCCTCCAAACATTCATCATACTGTAAACATCATAGTATAGTGTATTCAACTACACCTTCTGATTTTTTTGTGAAATGGTGAGCATATCAAACATTGGAAAATAAATAGGCATTTATTCCCAGTCTTTGAAAATTAAAAAAAATGAACTTCTGACCTCAGTGCATTTCATGTGAAGTACTCATAATTCTTAATTCATATTAGATTCTCACTAAGGAAAAGAGCTTTACCTGTTTTAGGAATAATATCTACTTGAATTTTGATTATTAAAATTGTGGAAGTTAACCTAGTAGGAAAGCTATATCCTGTTCCATTGAATTCTGTATGTGCCGGAAATCATTTGAATAGAAATTCATGAGACTGAGAGGTAGTAAGTAGGCTTTGGAGTAGATCTTTTGTGTTCAAATCTCATTTTACTATATTTTAGCTTTGAGACATTTGGCAAGTTATGTAGCCCCTTCTGGTACATAACTTCAGTTTCCCCATCTGGTAAAAGAGGGATGACAATAGCACTACCCTGACATACTGTGAGGATGCAGTGAGATCGTGTGTGTATGGGGGGGGATTTGCTTAGTGAGCATATGGAACCATATGGATAGTTAAACTGCTGCTGTTTTTCCCTTCGTTTGGATATATAAAGATATTGTGAGAAGAGAAAATGATTTTATCTTTTCAGTTTTTTGAAGCTGATGAGCAGCACAAGCATGTGGAAGCAGAACTGAGGAGTCGGCTGGCCATTCTGGAGATGGAGGCGGCCCAGCACCAGGCCGTGGTTGACGGCCTGACACGGAAGTACATGGAAACCATCGAGAAACTGCAGAATGACAAGGCCAAACTAGAAGTAAGCCCTGCTGTTCGTGATAGCATGTTAAGAAATAGTAGACTTTTGTAAATCGCCTGTGTACGTAGAGAACACAAAATTAATCATTCAAGGTGAGACTATTGCCTGTATTGTTTTCTAAGTGTGCTGTCATCTATAGCCTTAGCCATCTACTATCTGCTTTTCTTTTTCTTCTAAAATTCAGGTAAACTCTCAGACTCTAGAAAAGGAGGCCAAGGAATGTCGGCTTCGAACAGAAGAATGGTATGTGGAAATGTTCAATCCGAGGGGCCCTGACGTAAGAATCAGAAGACCCGAGTTTTGGTTTAGCAGCTCCTCTGTCTTAATTTTCTCCCATTTGAAATGAGACAGGCGTAGGTAATCTCCAGGGTCCTTTTCAGTTCTGTTATCTCTGGGGCCTTATGTATTCTTGGTAGAGTGGTTTGTGCACTAGTTCTCAGCCTGCAGGTGTTCTGCGCTGTGGCAGATAGCATCCCAGGGCTCCTGTACTGTGGACTGTCTAGTAGTATCTGAAACTTTCTGTCTTAGACTACACTCAAGAGGGAGCCTTTGTTAGTCCCAGGCAGGAAAAGTGACTAATCATGATGTGACCTTTTAGTGGTATATTTTGAATAAAATAGAGGTCATGAATAAAATAGAGGGATTTAATTGGGAGATACTTTTAAAATTAAAATATTACTTATTGGTGGGTGGTAGAGTGTACACCATTTTTTTGATAAATGACATAATATGTTTTAAGTTTTAATAAAATCAAGGGAGCGTCTTATACTTTAGTTGCACTGATAGAATTACGTGCATGGTTTAGATGTATACCTATGTTCATAATTGAATCAAAACCAAAAATAATCAGATTTAGAGCTCAGTGAAAAAAAGGTCTGATCTAATACTTAAAAAAGAACTTTACTACTTGAAGATACATTTATGTGTTGTAAAGAGAAAATTTGTAATTTTGAAATGGCTCCAAGATTACTTTGAGCTTGGGGAAATAAGATTGTAAAAGATATTGGGACTGTGATAAATTCTTCCAAACTTCAACATCACTCAGTAGAAGTCTCAGGGGCTTTAGAATCGAGGCTTAGTATTTTTCTTATCTTCATCTTTTAATAACTCTATCACCAAGAGTTTCTCAGATGTCAGGCGGAATGTCAGACAATTTCTCTGAAAGTCTGATGCCAGCTGTTGAGGTAATAAGTAAATGAGGATCTGCTGCTGATTGGTGATAATGTGCATCTATTTTTTTTTTTCTTGCAGTCAATTGCAGTTAAAGAATCTTCATGAAGATTTGTCAGGTAGATTAGAGGAATCCTTATCAATCATCAATGAAAAAGTACCTTTTAATGATACAAGTAGGTATTATGTACAGTTTTCCATTATTTGCAACTTTGAACCTTTGTGAGGTAGCCAGTTAATTAAAAAAATTTCTGATCTATTTGGCAAAAGACTTTTTTGGTGCAACAGAGGTTGCTTTGTCTTTCTTTTGATTATCTTTGGCCCTCATATTTCCTAAGAAGATTTTAAATTGTCATAACTACTCCAGAATCAGCCTTCTTGGAAGGAGTTCCAACCACATTTTTTTACTTCATGTATTTAGCATATCCCAAGGTAAAAAACCAACTAGCACATAAAGTACCCAAAAATTTGTAAAAGAAAAGTTGTTCGTGGTTGGGGGAGAGAGGATGTAAATCTTCTTAGCTGGGTATCTCTTGCCCCTTGGGTAACCCCTGGTGATAGTTAGGGAGCGACTTAGTTAAATTCATCCTGGGAGTGGTCTGGTAATTTGCACAGCCAAGAGCAATAAAAATAGCTTTAAAAAAAATCAACTTATGTGTGTGATAGGTACCAATTTTGTAACCTTAAAGGTAAGAAATCTGAACTTTGAAAACAGTATTTGTTTGAACTTTGAAACTTATGTTCAGATAAGTACACATTTCCTTTTTTACACATAATTGAAATTAATTTTTTGCTTCTTATAAATTTTTTAGGGAAAACCTAAAAAAAGAGGAATGAAAAGACACCAGAAAAGAGTAGCAGTTTGATCTGACACTAAAATCAGCATGTCATTATTACATCAAAAACCTAAATTCTTCTGAAAACAGCACCTGTTTCTAGTTTCTCCATTAATATAAATAGCACTGGCATACCTTTGATCCACTAGACTTGAAACCTTGGCATTTCATTTTCCCTTTAATCCTTCCTGTTAGTAAGACATCAGGTTCTAATAATCTTCTGAGTTTCTTGAATTTATCCTTTCTTTTCCAGTATTACTTGTCTTCCTGCTTTAGGTCCTTATCATGTCAATATGATATGATATTTATTTTTGTTCCAAAATATTTAAAGATCATTTGTTGAGTGCACATAGGAGTATATTTTTGCATAGGGGATGCAAAAATTTATATGACAAAAATGTCTACCCTCAAGGGATTTATAGTCTAGTGTGGGACAGATAATATATAGAAATGTCTGAAATATGTTAAACAGTTGCATAAAGAACCTCTTGGGATTTCAAAGGAAGGACAGAGGTTGTTTGGGGAAGTCTTCTGGAAGAATTATTCTTTGAGCTGGGCTTGCAGGCATGAGTAGGTTTAATTGTGCAGAAATGAGGGAGAATGAGCCAGGAATTGTGAGGAGTGAGGTACGAAGGACAGAAGGTGATGTCATAGCCTGATAAGCATGACAGGAGGCTAGAGTGGGTGGGGGTGGAAGACAGTGATGAAAAGATGGGTGGAACTGGACTGTAGAGTTCTAGGCAAAGGACTTTGAACTTAATTCACAAGGCATAGGGGTTGCTGGAGAAGCTTTTGATCCAGGGGATATAATGATGAGATCTGTACACACTCAAAGTTAATCTGGAAAGAGTGGAGACCATCTTGGAATGTGAAAGAGGCTGGAGACTACTGTGGTGATAGTCCTGCTGTGCTATTACAGAGGCTGGAGCCTGAGTTTTCAGGGAAATATAAGAGGCAAGAGAGAGGGTGGAGGCAGTGTCGTGGAGGCAGTGTGGTGGAAAGATGTGGGGTGTAGTTGACAGCAATTAAAGAGGCAGACAAAGAGCAGATTTATGGGAAAGATGATGAAGTTAATTTTGTTGTTTAATATTCTGACAGATTGGTATGTATCTGTTTACCTCTTAGTATATGCGTTTATAAATAAAAGCATAGACCTAGGGAGAGAAACTAGAGACCTAGGGAGTTGACACTATTGGGGTGGATGAGCCCCTCTGTCAGAAGTGGTGGAAATGAGGAGTACAAAGTGCAGAGGCCTGTGCAGGATCCTTGGAGAGTTTTCCATTGCAGTGAAAAGGAAGGAGGAAGGCTGAGGTGGAGCAGGGCTGGGGAATTGGGTGAGATAGAAGAAGAGAGAGAGCATTCAACCTGGTGGTGCTCATCAGTTATACTCATTGGTCAGAGAGGGTGATGATGACAGAAAAGGCAACTGGGTTTGGTGACTTGATGACTTTGAGAGGAGTAGTGGCCCTTGAGAGGGGTATTTCTGTGCAAAGTAGAGGAGGGTACCAGATTGCTCGAGGTGAATGGATGCTGAGGGAGCAAGCAGAGACATGCTGTTTTTTGAGCAGTGGGAATGAAGGACATGGGAAAGGATGAGAGCACTATAGCAGAGTAAAAGAA